GCCGGGCGGTGGTGGCGCACGCCTTTAATCCCAGCACTCGGGAGGCAGAGCCACGCGGATCTCTGTGAGTTCGAGGCCAGCCTGGGCTACCAAGTGAGCTCCAGGAAAGGCGCAAAGCTACACAGAGAAACCCTGTCTCAAAAAACAAACAAACAAACAAAACAAAAAAACAAACAAACAAAAAGAAAAAAAAGAAAAGAAAACATTAACCAGGGATTGGCTTAGCTGTAGAGGGTGAGTCTGTGACCATCTGGGGTGGGGGGGAGGGTGGCAACAGGTAGGCAGGTATGGCACTGAAGCAGTGGTGGAGACTTTACAAGTTGAGATAACAACCACAGGCAGAGAGTGATAGAGCTAACCGGGAGCTATGTGGGGTTTTGAAACCTCAAACTCACACACTTCCAGTGACACAACTCCTCCAACAAGGCCACACCTCCTAATCCTTCCCAAACAGTCCTGCCAACTGGGGACCAAGCATTCAAACCTGTATGAACCTGTAGGGGTCATTCTCTTTCAACCACCACAATGTTTCAGGCTGCTAAGTGCATTAGTAGGCATTTTACCTCATTTGGAACTAGTGAGTAATCATCCAAGAAGAGGAGTGTGCACATAACCTAGTCCAAATGGTTGCTAAGTTCTCCCCTCTGCTTTACTGCCTCAAAAGTTCCTGAAAATTGGGTAAAGAATCCACAAGAAAAAAAATGATGAATGTGTGGTATTTGAGAAATTGCTTCATTTATGAATATTTTCTTGTAACAATAAATTTTATTTCTTTAAACATTTCTATTAGCCTGCATAAAAACTACAAAAAAATGTATTGTTTGTGCCTTTGGCAGGGTCTCATGTAACTCAAGTTGGCCTTGAATTATTGTGTAGCTGAGGATGACCTTGATCTCCTGGGTTATTTTTTTCTTAACCTCCTTGGTGCTGGAATTACAGGTATGTGCCACCTCGTCCAGCTGTTTTCCTTCTTTATGAAGCATCTTGTCTCTGTGGACTTGTAGGTGAAGCAGATGCCTCTCTATAGCTAATAACAGTATCCAACAGCAGGTGGAAACTTGTCCTGCTATGATGTATGGTCATGCAAAAGACAAATTTGTTGCAGGATATTTTATCATACTGTGTGAAGATATGTTTCTGTTTTACCTTGCCTGCCTAAGGCACCTGATTGGTTTAATAAAGAGTTGAATGGCCAATAGCTAGGCAGGAGAGATAAGACAGGACTTCTGGTTAGAGATAGGAACTCTGGGAAGAAGAAAGGTGGATTCACCAGCAAGACACAAAGGAAGTCAGACATACAGAATAGAGGAAACATAAAGAGCCATGTAGATTAATAGAAAAAGGTTAATTTAAGTTATAAGAATTACTGGGACAAGCCTAAGCTAAGGCCAAACATCCATAATTAATAAGAAGTCTCCATGTCATTATTTGGGAGCTGGCTGGCCAAAGACCTGTTACACAAATTGTTTCCCATAGACCCCCTAAAGGAAGGCAGAAATGTCTAGAAATGACATAAACTAGGAAGGACAAACGAAGTATGCACAGAGAGTATGAAAGAGAGACAGCACATAAAAAGTGTTTGGAGTTATCCACCTATACATCATCATTGCTGTTAGCACAGGAGATAGAGAATCTGCACTCAGCTTCCAGATGTATCCAACACCTTTACTCAAGCCCTTCCACTAGAGATGCATTCCTTCATAAAATGAAGGACTGATCTACATAATTCTTAGGATGCCTTGTGTTTTGCAAATTCTTTGAGTCTGTGATTTGAGATGATACATCTGAGGGCTGTTGTACGGTGTTTTGATCATGTTCTGTCAAATAAAGCTTGTTTGGAGTCAGAAGATAGAGTTAGCCATTAGCCAACCAAAACTAACCACAGAAACTTTGGAAGGCTGAGGACAGATAGGAGAGGAAGTAGTAAGGCGGGGCGGAAAGGGATCTGGCTCTATGCTTGGAGGAAGGAACGGAGCAGGTAGGAAGGACTGGTAGCTTCTCCACTTCACTGATCTTTCAGACTTTTACCCCAGTATCTGACTCCTGAGTTTTTATTGATAAAGAATAATTAGAGTAATGCTTCATGGGGCATGAAATCATGAGATAGCCGCTTGCCCCCGGCTTTGGAGCTGCTGCCTGTGGTCATGGCCACCAGAGTCTAGGGGTTGTTCTTCTCTTGCTTCAAACCTTCTGATTGTGTCTGGGATTTTCCTGTTACAGCCCCTCTCCCACAATCTCCAAAGGCCCCAAACTCCACAGGTGCCTGGGCTCCAAATGCCCTTGGAGCTAGTGGCCCACTAACAGCCAGCTCTGTGCACTCAGTTCCTACCCATCACACATGCAGAAGCAATTTCCCCTGTGTCTGCCTTTCAGATGGCTGGCTCCTTGGCTCCTTTTCCCACGCATTGTGGACTTCCTCTGGACCCCTCCTCAGGCTACTGCCACACCTCGTTAGCTGCTTAGATACCCACTCTGCCCTCTATTGTTACCACATACTCGCAGCACAACAACTACATGCAATCAACTGCTGCTGTCCTCAGCCAGGCTGCACACCACCTGTGTTCTCTGCCCAGGTGTGCTCACTGCAGCTTCAGCCAGCCTCACACTTCACTGTCATCATCAGCCAATCTGGTGAGACACCAGGGAATTCTATTTTTTTTTTCAAGACAGGGTTTCTCTGTGTAGCCTTGGCTGTCCTGGAACTCTCTTTGGAGACCAGGCTGGCCTCAAACTCACAGAGATCCGCCTGCCTCTGCCTCCCAAGTGCTTGGATTAAAGGCGTGCGCCACCACCGCCCGGCCAGGGAATTCTTAAAAGGGAGAATCAGATTTAAAGAAGGAGGAGGAGGA